TATCTGAGAATTTTGCAAGTTGGTGTGAGTTCCCCTGATGGTGTGAGATGTGTGGGGGTCATAGCTGAATGCGGTGTGTGGATGACCAGGTTCTGCTTTGGTGTGAGGACAGAAAGCTGGCTGTCAGGCTGCTGGCATATGAATACTAGAATACAAATTTTTCACTAGAGTACCACCATTGACATTAAAAACGTTAGCTTTCCATGGAAAGCTCATTCATATTATTAAGAGATGAGTCTTTGGACTTTTTGCATATAGAGACAGAGAAGGAAAAGGTGTCTAACATTTTATTGAAATAGTTGTTCAATGTCTATGTCTTCAGTCTCCTTTATTGAGTCCCATTTCTTACATCTGTTCTTCGTGCTAACTTTGATTTCAGAATGTCTTCAAGCTTCCATTGGGCATATGGTCCTCGACCCTTTCTTTAGACTCCTTATACTTTATTCTATATTTTAGTTTTCTCCACTTCTTTAATACGTTAACTCAATCCTTCCTTATTCTTTCAGAAATATATTGAGATGTCTCACTTGGTGATGCTCTTCCTCTCCTTCAGCATTCTCATTGAAAATATAGATTTATTTTTGTAGGGTATAAGAAGGGTGACAGGTAGCAAATGCATGCATCCAATCCACCCTGTTGAGCTACATGTCCACTTCTTATTGAGACCCTTATTTCCCTTGGCTTCCTTGACATCATATTCAACTGCTTTGTTTTTTGTTTTTTTGAGACAGAATCTCGCTCTGTTGCCCGGGCTGGAGTGCAGTGGTGTGATCTCGGCTCAGTGCAGCCTCCTTCTCCCGGGTTCCAGTGATTCTCCTGTCTCAGCCTCCCAGGTAGCTGGGACTATAGGCACGCACCACCACACCTGGCTAATTTTTGTAGTTTTTCAGTAGAGACAGGGTTTCGCCATATTGGCCAGCGTGGTCTCAAACTCCTGATCTGAGGTGATCTGCCTGCTACGGCCTCCCAAAATGCTAGGATTACAGGCATGAGCCACCGTGCCTGGCCTATTCTACTGTTTTTCCTATTATCTTATTATCTCTCTACCTTCTCCTCATTATATTTTGTGGGATTTTCATTATTTACCCTCCTAATGTAATGTAGATTAGTCAAGGCTTGACCTTAAGCTCACTTCTCTTCTCATTTCATACTCTCTCCCCATGCTTTCTTAACCACACCAATGTCTTCATTACGATTTTCACTGTAGTGACTCATGTTCATATCTGAACACTGTTATCCAAAATATTAATTGTTTTTGTGCAGCAGAACTTTAAGAAACACTACATCCAAATTATATTACATTCTTATTAATGGTATTAGCCTTATTTTTCTTTAGGTTATATTTAATTCAAAGTTTCAGTTACTGTGAAAAACACATCCAGTATAGTATACATGTCTAGAAAGTGGCTTAAAAACCTGGAAAAATATCACATTAAATGATAATTATATAGTAATAATCTGTAGATATTTATTGATTTTCCAGCTTATAGAGTTAGTCTAAGAAGAAGTATAGAATATATGATTGTATTTGCCGGACAGAATTGCCAAAATATAAGTAGAAGAAAAAAGAACATAAAAGTAGCTTAGGAAAGATGAAGGAAAAAGTAGGAATAAAGTTATCCTCATTTCATGACATAAAATTATTCCATGACATAAAATTAAGTCATTTCATGATTCTTGAATTAAAGATTCAAGAGTTAAAAGGATAGTAGAAATTTTAGTATATTATTAAAGTTTAAAAGATAAGCAACAGTAAACTTAAAAATGCATATTAAACTAGACGAAGGAAGAAACTTATGCATACTTATCAAATGAAGGAATAAACAGTTATTGTTTAAGCTTAATTAACCAAAATGCATAGACATTTTCTAGCATTTTATGAGAACGTTATGGAATAACAACAGCATAAAAGGGAAGTTAGAAGTTTGGCTCTCCAGAGTGAGATTTAATGTCAGGGAGAGGTGAGTAGGATTTTCTGGGGTTTTTTTTGTTTTGTTTTTCTATGTCACTACATTCATTCAATATGGATGTGTTACTTTGACTTAAAACAAATGGACAAACAAAAGCCAAGAAAGCAATAGCCTTAGGTAAGTTATAGAAAAAAAAATGTAAATTTTGTAGCTTCTCTGGTAAAAAATAAGACTGTTACTGAATGATGTAATGGAAATTTAGCAGATGCTTACCACCTGTTTTTTTGTTAAATGTTAACCTTAAAATAAGTTTTATTTTATTGATTTATACTTGCTTTATTGAGCCTTCTATATAGTACTTCTCAAATAATGACTTTTTGAAAATACAGACATTTGTAAAAGAAAAAAGTGTCAACAATGTCAACTGCTGCAGTCACTTCAATTAATATAATGACCAAAACAGTATTGGTTTACTGACATAGCATTTTGTTATATAAGAAGCAACGACTTACAGAGTAATTTTCTGAAAGGCCAGAGGGAATGATTCTCAATAGCACAGGAAGGAGGAATTGGTTGTAATAGGAGGATGGAGAGTATACTATCTCTATTGAAATAGGATGGGAGATAACAATGCAGATGGAGATGCAGTTACATTTAAATTTTATTAGTAGAAAGATGATTTAATAAGGTACATAGTTTTTGTGAAGCAGCGGTCGTGAGGCAATCCAGTCTAAGGAAAGCAGAGAAGTTTCCAAAAATTTGGGGTGTGGGGGGGAGTAGCAAATTAAGCCATCCACAGAAACTTGGTGGGATTGAATGGCAATGTTGATAGCCCACTTGAAACTGATGATCATGAAACCCTGGTGGGTGTAAACTTTTCAGATAGCTTTCAGAATCTCAAGGCAATCACAAAGTAGAATATAATTGAGCTCATTGGAGTTGGGGTTTTGCCAAACAAGGGCAACAGAAGACACAGAGACAAAGTGATTTAAATATCAGCAAATGATTATTCCTGAAATGTTTGCCCATGGAAGGTAGAAGGTAAATTTAAATGATATATCTGGGCCATGAAACAAAAGTGCAAGACTCTTCCACATGGACATTGACTTACACATGTGCTACTCTCCCTTGTGACGGGCAGGCAATGTATAGAAAGAGGTCTCTGGTGTGAAAAGAAGGTGGAAGAGCCTCCTCAAGCTCAGGTACTATTCAAATATAAAGTATTACTATACAGATGGATAGTGAAAATGGAATTAATTGTTAGCCAAAAAAAGTTACACTTTTAAGATAAGAATGCATTCATTTCTTAAGAAATCAGAGAGAAAAGGGCTCAGAAGTTTTGGAGAAATGGCTTACAGAAAATTAATTCAAGACTTTTAATTAGATAAACTGTAAAACTGCATTTCTTTTTTATTTTCAATCTGCAGACCCTCTTACATAATCTTGTAGTTGGCATAATATATACACATTATTCCACAGTGATGTAATACACAATGACGACTTTTAAATCTCTTTAGGTAGCCCAGCTCTCTCTTACGGGTATTAGGAACAGATATCTGATTACCTATTGCCAATTTCCTCATGGATTTCCCATGCACCCTGTATCTCATATTCAAAACTGAATTCCTCATTTTTATCTGCTTCTGTATTTCTTCAGCTGTGTTCTTTTCTGGTGAAGAGAATCATCGCCCATTCAAGGAACTATGCTAAAGCCTTGAAATTGTTGTATATGCTAGCTGCCTCCTACTCCAAAGCCTGTAATTCATTAATTATCAAACGCTGGTAATCCTACCTTCTTAATATCCCAATTATGTTTCCTGTCCTCCAGTGCTACCATCACTGCTTTTGTTCAGTCATTTATCACCTCTTGGCTGATTAGTTTTAGTAGCCCGTGAATTGGTTTCCAAGTCACCATTTTTTTTCTACCTGGTTCTCCATGCCATTACTTAACTGTGAGGCCTTTACCAATTTTCATCATTTCCTTAATACTGGCTTTCTCTTCTTTAAAATGAATATTACATTTTTACCCTTTACTTGATAGAGTTGTTACTATTATATATATATGTGTGTGTGTGTATATATATATATAAAATACTGTGTATCTCTATGTATGTATGTATGTATAATACATACTTCATAATTCATGAAGTTTCATAGACTGTGTTGTTTACATACACATATTTAAATGTTTACATACTTATATATAAATGTATTTATACACACACACATATATAAACAACAAAGTGTATAATAAACTAAGTGGTAAGCAAAAATCTTGTGATACAGCTCTGGTCATACATTCCAGCAGCATATATTCTAAAAACAAACATATGAAAAAACAGCACTTAAATAGATTATTTTTTAAGCTTCACAATCAATCAGGTTTCTCAAGCTTACTCCTTAATAACAGCTTCGCAGATATTTTTTTACTGCATGACAGAGCAAACTGCACATCATATATCAATGATAATATGATGCTTGACTTCTTTAATGCAACGCTTAACTGTAAATGTCTGTAAATACAAATGAGGTGTTTAAATTTGAAGATACTTTGGATAGATGGCAATACCTATAATTATAGAGTCATCACTTCTGCCTGATTTGCACTTAAAAGTTAAAGTTCCAACTGCTCCTATTATTAGAAAAGTAATAATAACAATTATAACTATACCATGAAGTATTAAAACCTGAACATTCAATTTGAAGGCAGCTAAAATAAAAATGTAATGAAAAGTGGATCCATAAAATGCTTTCAATTCATACACATATGCTATATAGAGGCACTCAAGAGCAAAGGAAAGAACTGTGGAGTCCTTATTATGGTTCTTTTTTTCAGATTCTTTCTCGCTTTCTGGCATTAGAGTAGCATTATGGTGAGTATTTCTCATCCATAGATCATCACTTTCTTATGTCAAAATTTTTCTTCTAAGGTATGTATAAACATGGCCTAAAAATGTAGTTTCTAAATACGGCAAATGTCTTTTTATTTTATTTGTAAGTTCCAGTTCTTAAAGAAAAACACACACATTAATACATCTGTATTTTCCAAATTAGAGTTGGCTGACCTTTTTAATGGGCCAAGCAACTTACCATCATTACGTAGAGTGAGTGGCGTTGGAGGACTAAGAACTCTAGCATTCGTCACTGTGTTTTTCACCAGACAAATATAGCTGCCAACATCTGATGTTTGGACTTTAGAAATATAAAGGTTGCCTGTCTCCTGGGAAATGAACCGCCGGCTGTCTTCCGCCACAAAGGAAGGGAACTCATTAAATACCCAGCTATAGATGATCTCTGAAAATACACAAAATTTGGTCAATGAAAGACTTGGATTTTTTCATTAACAGAAAAAGTTCAATCAACAAAGCCTGAGATATATTGCAAGCTCACACATATTTGACCCGTGGAGGTATATAATTTAGTATTTTATATTCAAAGGATTATTGTTAATGACTACGGTGAGATCTGAAATATTTTTTAGGATGTCTGAACTTGACTCATTTAGTTATTCTTTCAATTCCAATGTGTATTGAACATGTTTTAGGTACTCAGAACTATGATAACCTGAAAACAGAAAGAGAAGAGACAATTCCCCATTCTCAAAGATCAATTTAATGAAGAAAATTTACCCAAACCTATGAAACAATGTAGAATAAGAAAATGGAGATACAGACCTTATTGTAAAGAAGGTATGAGATGGGGCACTTAAGCAATAAAACTTATCAAAGAAAGGCAAACTACATGTCTTCTGTCCAAATGTTCTCCTCTACACACATCCCATTTTGTAACTTAGTTTAATTTCTAAATTAAGCTTAAGTTCACTGGGACTTTCAGAGACAGTATCATTAAGTTCTGACTCTACTACTTAGTGATGGTCTAAATTGAGCCAGTATTTAACTAACTTTTTGAGGTTCATTTTTAAAATTCATATAGTTAGAATAATATTACGTACTTCATAAGCGTCAAACAAGACAATGCACCTAAGAGCTTAATGAATAATATGCATTCATAAAACATGAAAAGTAACATTTCTGTTATCATCCCACCCTAACCAAAAATTACCACGTTAGGAGCTCCTTCTACGTGCACCATTTAAATATAAGAAAAACAGTAAAGAGGATATAAAACAAGTCTGAAGGAATAGTGGATACTTAAATATTTTCAGGTCTGTTTTCAACAGAAGAATTCCAATGATGAGATGAACATTGATTCTAAGCAAGATTTTGCTAATATTTATTATTAAAAAAAATTATATAGGCTGGGTGCCGTGGCTCACGCCTGTAATCCTAGCACTTTGGGAGGCCGAGGCGGGCGGATCACGAGGTCAGGAGATTGAGATTATCCTGGTTAACAAGGTGAAACCCTGTCTCTACTAAAAATACAGAAAAAATTAGCTGGGTGTTGTGGCGGGCACCTGTAGTCCCAGCCACTCAGGAGGCTGAGTCAGGAGAACGGCATGAACTCGAGAGGTGGAGCTTGCAGTGAGCTGAGATCACACCACTGCACTTCAGCCAGGGTGACAGAGTGAGATACCAACTCAAAATAAATAAATAAATAAATAAATAAATAAATAAATAAATAAATAAAATTATATGTTATAGTTCTAGCAGAAGCCTGAGAATTTTGAAATATTATATTGCATTAATGTGTAATTACAATATACAGATACAAAATCAAATATTTTAACAATTGTTTTATAAAGAAAAGCATTTTTTACAGTTACAGACACCCAGTTGGCAGCCTTCAGTACATTTAATATTTTATTAACAATTTATTTAAAATATCCACATTACTTTACTCGAAGGAACTCCCTAAAGTATAACTGAAATACTTCCACTTGTTCTCATAGAGCTCAACTAGACTCTAAATTCAAGGCTTTCTCACATTTAACAATATGAATTCCTTTAATTGCTATAATGAAAGTGTTACTTGTCATTCACACCTAATTCATATATTTTAATATGTATTTATTTTATATTACATTTTACTAAAATCTTTTTTTTTATTATTTTACTAAAATCTAATATAAAATAAGGGTTTTCTTAGTTTTTGGTTTATATTACTTAAAGTTTCAGAAAAATGAAAGCAACTAACAATTACAGGTAATCATTCATTAAATTCAAAAATACTGTTTCTGTTATACTGATATTTGTTGAATTAATGTTTAGTAATTTTAGACTAGGAGAAAAATATTTACACAAAATTGGCATTTTCTCAGATTTTACAGATGGGTAAGTATTTGGAGACTCAAAAATGCTTACTTAGTTCTTCAAATAAGTTTTCAGTTTCATGTAGTGAAGCTAATAATTCCAAAAAGTATAAAAAGTAGAAATACTACACAATAGAAGAGCTGACAACCTGAGTTTGCAGTGGATTATCTGCCAGTGCCAAAAATGAAAATATTGAACTGAGCTAAACACCTTTTAACATTCCTCTTTACTTTCTCCTATAAGGTTTTCCATTATCTATTCACATTTATTTAATACTGTCTTCAAAGTAATCATAAAAAGTCTATAATTAACTTTAGTGTTATACTGTAATCTGAGAACTATAAAATATTTCAGGGAAATAGTAAAGTATAGTTGGCTCTGGTGCCACAGTCTTTAGCTTCATATGTCACTTTCTTCCATACCAACTGCGCCTGGCCCTTAAAAATAATTGAATGCATGCTTATCTATTAAGCGGTAAAAATTTAGTAGTAGTGGCATTCATTTCAGAAGATACTGATATTAGGTGGTCAACTATGATTTTCCCATTTTTTAAGGCTCTTTTTTTCTAATGGTATGATGATCTAAAGCAACTAAAATGTTTTAGAAGTTCTCGGTGTGATTCTTCAGTGAGTAATCTCTATATCAGCAGACAATGACTACTTTGAGATATCCTGTGCATCTACGTTATGAAAGTCTTCCTCGGGAATGCTTTTGCACAAATCCTACTTAAGATCAATTTTTCCCCCATTTTTCTATGTAGTTTGCTTTATTATTATACTTTAAGTTCTGGGAAACATGTACAGAACATTCAGGTGTGTTACACAGGTATACAAAATGGTGTTGGGAAAACTGGCTGGCCACATGCAGAAAGCTCAAACTGGACCCCTTCCTTACACCTTATTAAAACATTAACTCAACATGGATTAAAGACGTAAATGTAAGACCTAAAGCCATAAAAACCCCTAGAAGAAAACCTAGGCAATATCATCCAGGACATAAGCATGGGCAAAGACTTCATGACTCACCAAAAGCAATTGCAACAGAAGGATCAATGTTTATGCTAAATTTCAATCAGGTATTTTTGATACTATATGGTAATATACATTTGGGACACAAATCCATGTGCGGCATAGGCTTTTGGCTTCTCATTGGAGAATTTTTGTCTTCTACTCTGAACCAACAAGTCATTCCATCTGGGGTCTGACTTGGTCAGACATTGTTATTCAACTTCCATTCTCAAGCAGACCCAAGGACTTGTTCTTTGCCCTGGCATGATCATTCATCCTTTAACTTTTAGACTTTAGGGTCTACTTCTCTAACATGTGAAAAATGTACCTTGCTTCCAAGATCTCCTCAGGGTTAACATCACAGAGTATGCTTTGGATTTCAGTTCTTATTTGTTTCTGATACTTGGGGATTTCCTTTTCTTTCTTGTGAGATCAGCTACATATTGAAATTATCTTTGCTTTATTTCAGTCATCATTTCTAAATTTTGGTAGTGAGAACATTTCCAGGTCAGCTGTCTCCCTCCCTAATTGAACGTTCAGATTTTATGGATTCAAGTATTGCAGACTTTCTATGCAACTGCTGCAATTGATTCAGCGTCAATAAACACAGGACCTTTTCTTTGCTCCCCTGACAAATAAGATGATTATTTAAGTGATATATTTCCACAACTACAGAGTGCATAAAAACAGGAGTACACATGTGGGCAATGATGCTCATTTCTCTTAACAGAAGTGCCATTAACAACAACAACAAAAAAAAGTTTGAAAAAGGGGAATGAAACTGCATACTGGACCCTCAGAAGTCTTTGAAAACAATTTCAGTGAGTAATCACATGTGATTCAACATTCTTTAATATAACTACGTGTTGGGAAATAACCATTCTTTTTTCTAATAATGTGTGTACACATCAGAGGCTTTGGGCCAAAGAATTCGGAGAGAACACAATGGATATAGCATCTGAGTTGTTCAATGACCCAATTAATAATGCAACTCTCCCTGGGAGTCTATTTTCTTTATCCCTATAAGTACAGAAAGAAAAAGAACTTAAAAATCAGAAGCTTCCCTATCTCTATAAAATGCTCAACTTTATGGTAAGATTCTCAGTCAACAGGTCTTATTTATCAAAATCACTAATTGTTTTTGTTATTTCTATAATATGAGATTTAATGTTTTATCTGCCAAAAATCATAACTTCTTTATTATTAAAATATAACATTTATTCAGGCACAGCAGCCTATGCCTGTAATCCCTGCTCTACGGGAGGCTGAGGTGAGAGGATAGCTTGAGACCAGGAGTTCAAAGTTGCCATAAGCTGTGACTGTGCTGCTGTGCTCCAGCCTGGATGATGGAGTTAGACCCCAAATCAAATAAATAAAAGATATGTAACTTTTAGTTTATTTTTTAAATAGTTCAAGTTTTTCATTTATTTATTTTCTGTATCTTGTATTAATTTTTACTGATGCTTCCTGGTAGAGTATATGTCAGGAGGATTTTAATATTTACAAATTGTCTTTTAATCATATTTATTTTCAGAATTCTACCATCCATTATGACTCATCTCCTCTCTTTCATGGTGACTTAATTGAAGATAATTAAATAGGATAACTTAGTAAGTTCCTGGAGAAAAATAGGGTTTTAAAAATTGTCACTACAATTATTTTCTTTTTTGAAAGTTTGTACCCAATCCTATGGCTTTGGATTCTGAATTAATGACATTATGATAGAAACTGTAGAGAACTGTCCACTTAATTATTCATTACTACTGAGCATAAGGGACAACCTGAAATTGGTGGGAAATATATTTTTCCATTGCTGATGTGTACCTTAATTGAAACAGAAAATGTCACTATTAGCCATGTCAATTACTCTTGGAAGAGCAGAGACTGAATCTACCTTCTTCATCATTATATTTTTAAAACTCAACAGGATACTTGGTGTGTAGTTGTTCCATAAATATTTGGTGAATAAATGCATAGTTGAGATAGAAATATATCTATAATCTATTTATATAAAACTCTCTAAATTTCAAGAACAAGAGTGGATTTATTTTCACATATTAAACTTCATTACAAATTT